ACCAATAGTACTTGGACTTGTAAAAATTGGGCTTAGGAGATGTCAGCTTCAGGAAGTGGACACCATCGCTTTGGAACTTCGAGTTAATGCACTCGGCTAGAATGCGCTCACGGGGAGCTGTGAGTAGCGTATACTCGGTGAATCGGCCTAATGGCCCCTTTTACTCTCGGGAGTCTCGGGACCGATCCTTTCTTCTTCTCTCCCTGCCTCATCGAGGAGTGGTGACGTCTTCGTGACTGGAATTTTTGGCACTTATGGTTCTTTCAGTCGTGAGCGCAGTTGGAGGCCTCTTTCTCCTCGTGCTGAATATAGGCTTGGGCCTTTGAAGGAGTGTGTCTAACGTGTTAGGCCTTTCGATGTTAACCGCCTTGGAAACTCAGTGCGAGGTTGCAATCCTCGCTCAATCAAATACCTCTTCATGTCGTCTAAAGTAGATACTTGGACAACTTATCGGTTGAATCTCTCTATGTAGTCCCGGAGAGATTCTTCCTTCCCTTGAATGATAGCTTCCAGGGATGCTTTCGTCTTCGATTTTCGCTGGAAAACAGTGAAGTTCCTGGAGAACTTCCTCTTCAACTCTCTCCAATAGGTGATGGATTCGAGATCAAGGCTCTTATACTATGCCATTACGCCCTTCCTCATGGTCGTTGGAAAGAGTCTGCACTTTTTGGCCCCTTTGACGTTCTGGTAGTCAAGCATCGCATTGATGCTTTCAATATGGTTGTCCGGGTTGGTTGTACCATCATAGGTAGCTAGGGTCGGGGGTTCTCCATCCTGACAGGCAGGTGAGTTTCCATGATGGCCTTAGACATAGGAGTACGTGGGTCGTCTTTATCGCTCTTGACGGGGGCCCGTCGTCCCGAGGGCTCCTGCCGCGGGGAGATCTCCTTGGCCGAATCTTCAGTTTCTCCCCGTACTCGTCAGCTTTATTTCTCTTAGGGGCTAGGGAGCGTCGCTTTTTTTGGGGAGGAGAGCGGTCATGCTTCTGGGCAGCCATGGGCCGAGGCCTTTCCATTCGGGGACGATGCTAAGGCCGTTGCAGAGAGGGACTCCGAGACTCATCATGTTTTAGCCTCCGCGAGGAAGGGGAAGGACATGCTTCTCGTCGCCGTGGTGACAGGATGCGAAAAACTTGGCGATGATGCCTTCGCGGGGGAGAGCGTGATTTTCGCTCCTTTTCTAGGTGAGATTTCATAGTGTTTAAGGCTCCTTCCCTGCGGAAGGTGAGATACATAATGATTTCCTTAAGTAACCCAATGCTTGACTGAATTAAGATGCTATCTCCTTAGATTTCATAGTGTTTAAGGCTTAAAGAGACACTCTTATCCCTTCTCCATATCCAACCAAGCTCTCCATTTCTTCACTCTAAAGTAAGGTGAAATTGTGAATTTCTTCTAAGGAATAAGTGTATGTGTGTGTGTGTGTGTATATATATATATATATATATATATATATATATATATATATATATATATATATATATATATATATATATATATATATATATATATATATATATATATATATATATATATATATATATATATATATATATATATATATATATATATATATATATATATATATATATATATAGTACAATAATTGGATGTCATCCATTAGCATAGAATCCTGAATCAATAGTATTGATATCTTATACGGTGGTGCAGGGGTGGATCTGCAAAGTTAGCACTTCAATGCCTAAGTCAGTTCAAGATTCAAGATAGTGAGAAGTGGAGATCAGAAATTTTACCTTGTATTTCATGTGATCCTTCTTTTATACCATGGTTCATGTGAAGTGTATTTGAGTTGGTTTAGGCCTTATCCATTTTGGGCCTTTGGCTAGCCAAAACAAAATCCCCCATGGCTTGCTATATGCTGAAGGGAGTCGGGAAAGCCTTTAATACTAATGGCTGACCTCTAGGGGTGTCATCCGATTTAAACTATAATCAAAATGACTAGAGTCAGTTGAGAAAGTAGTGGGGAACAAGTGCATTGAATGCTCTATTATCATTGAAATGTTTCACTCTTTGCTCCCAACACATCACCTTAGTTATACAGGCCAGAGAATGATTCCTCTACTTAGGGTACTTGAGTGTTTTAGGCTTTCTTCTATACTCAATGGGATAGTGTACTTACCACTCATGAATCTGTACCTTATTTTTGACTTGGGTCGTTGATTTTCGAATGAATTCGTTATAAAATGTGAGTTTTTCCCGCAAAGTTTATTTTTATTGCTCTATTGTTCTCTGCTTATCTCTCCTTCCTGGGCTTAGCTATCAAATCTCTTGCTCCAACTTTTATATCCTCTATTACCTTCCTTTCCTCTTTATAGGTACATTATTAACACCATTTTGTATGTAATCATGGTTGATATAGAGAATATGCCTTTAGACGGTGCCTTCAAGCTCACTAGTGGAGAGTCCCCATTATTTAAGGCAAACTCCTTTTTATCAAAGGTATTTTGTTTACAATCTATATAATTTATTTTATAATGCAAAAACAAGATTAGATCATTTGGAGGACCCAATGAAGGCTAAAAATGTAGAAGGTTACTTCAGGGTGGACCTAGAATATCTAGAAACCCTTTCCGCATATACCCAAGAAGCTAAAGCAGAGGCATCCTCCTTTGAAGTGCGGTCTCCCTTTGACTGGAAAATCTTAGTAATCCCTGTTGGCAAGTGGGTGTGTATAAAGTTATAAGGTTGTTTTATTCCCTTCTATGAATGCATCTTTAAGAAGTTAGGTGCCCAACTACCGTTGTCTGCGTTTGGAAAAGAGGTGTTGGATCATCTATGAATCCCTCCCTCGTAACTTCATCTATGTTCCAGGGGCTTCATGATAGCTTTCCATTAATCCTATTAGTATCATAGAGACATGGTTTTGGCCTCCAATAACCTCTTGTTTCATCTCTTTATGGTCTACCCTGTCTCAAAGGCGAACAAAGGTTATGGACTTATTTACCTTCTTCTTGCAACAAAAAAAAAGTCTTTCATGTCTATACGGAGAGATGGAAAAGTTTTAAAACTAATTATGTCACGGACAATCCAATTTTCCTTATTGCTCAAGCTAAATTATGCATCGTTCTAGCCCCTTCTGCACAACCACCTGCGTATGTCGATTAAAGGAGACGATTCTAGTCTCTAGACCATTTTTAAAAGAAGGCTACACATTACTCTATTTCGTATGATGCCCTCGCCGATGTGGAGAAGGCTATGAAGGCGACTTTTATTTCCTTCTACAATGATGATATACATGGTCGAGATATCACTAAGGCAACTTCTCTTGAGGAGAAGAAAGAAGTATTTGGTATATGCTCTATATCTGCTTCATTTATAGTATGTGAACTTCTATAGCTTCTTGCCTGTTGATTTTTCTTTCTTATTTTCAAATGCTCTCAAAAGAAAGGATACCTCTGATGCCCTCATCGTGCCAGCGCAAGACGTTGAAGCCCCTTTCGTCGCGTTAACACCTTCAAAAGGTTGGAGCAGGAAGAATGATGACCAACCATACATGGTTGGAGTTAAGAAGTACCATTGTATGCCATTTTCTCAGGGAATTCCTGCAAAGAGGTCGAAGCAGCTTGTGTCCGCTCACACTGTCCATCTAGGGAACATTCTTTTCCCACTTTCGCATATGCTGGCTGATCATTTGCCTTAGATAGTAATAGAGATAAAAGATTATGTGCTTGTCAAGGACTATGTTGACATCCGCCAGCTCCTCAAAACCGAAAAATCTTGCTTGTTGGAGGAGTTATCTTATCAAATTTTGCCAGAGTCTTCACTCTTAACCCATCTTGGATCCAACCACAAAGAACTTTTTGTCCCCGACACTTTTTCTCAAGGGTTTGAGGATTCAAAGACTTAATATACTCTTGCTAAGAAAAAAGTCCTCATCTTCAAAAGGGACTGCTCTAGGTTGCACAGTCATGTGGATTATGTGTCCTCTTTACTAGAGGAAGTGAAGTTTTACAAATCTTCTATGACTTTGGCTAATCTATGAAGTCTCATAGGTTCGCCTATATATGCATATGTTTTTAGAAAATAGGCTAAATAATATACGAAAGGTATGTTTGTGTATGTAAAAAAAGGTAAAATGGACTTATTGAAATCCTTAATGTGAAACAAGAATTTAAATAGGTTTTCAGACTAGGTCAAACTTTTAAAAAGAGTAGGTCATATGTCAAAAAAGGCTATAATAAATCATAGGACAGACTCAGGCCATAAATTTTACCGTAGGCCAGACTTAGACCTTCTAAAACTTGACATGTTTCACCGCTAGCAACAATTATGTAAAAAGAATGAGAATTAAATTAATTAAATAAATAATTAAATTTATTATAATTAATATTGTTAGTTGGCCTTTTCAATTACTATTAGTTGGGATTTTAGTATTTAAGTATTTTGTTTTATCTATTAGTGATATTATATAATGTAGTGTCTTTAATATATGTATATGAGGATATCAAATGAATGAAAATGTTAATTTATTTGATTGAGTTATTTTGTTCTTTATTTAATTTTTTTTTATTATGCAGTAGAGTTTGACTGCCATTAATTGTTGCAATATAATATATGGACGATTCAAAGAAAAAGGAATTAAATTAGAGATAAACTTCTAGTACAAGGAGTACAAGAAAGACATTGAAAGATTGAATGTCTGCTTAAAAATTTACATTGGCAACCTACCCAAGACAGTTTCGCATCAAAGTAAATCTAATACATTCTAAAGCCATCGATACCACGCCCGATTAATATCTTTGCAAAAAGATGACCAACTATTCTTGCACATTGAGAATCAACTACTTAGAATCAATCCTCAAAAAGTAAAAAATAAAAACACTACAATTGGACTGTAACAGTAATCATTCTTCAAGTTTCAATAGGTTGTTTTTCCAACAAACTAAATTAAATTTTCTGACTAAAATCTTATGTTTTCTTCCATGGATAGTCAAAATTAGTCTTGAATGATTAATAGTCTGTTTAAGTGACACACTGGCACTAGAGCATATAAGCGAAGTTATTCCACTTTTCAACCTCCTCATTAGTAAGTTTTCTGATTCCATTGAGAAAGTTGAAATCTTCCCATGCTATTGGGTGTGTCATTCTTCTACTAATTGAATATTTGGGGATGCTGCCGCGTTTGTGTATCATCATTTCCAATAGGTCTGAAAATTAAAAAAAAAAAAATTTTAGTGTCTCCTTTTTAATTTGATAAGTAAAAGTCTATTTTATGAACATTACCATTGTCTTGGCAAGAGCATTGATTGATTTCCCGGTCACATGATTTCAAATGGCAAATTGAAGCATACGCCCAATCTATATAGCTCATTAAAAAAGAAGAAGTTAATTTATATGTTTTATCCATAGTATGATATAATTCACACATAAATAAATGTTGTATATCTGTATCTCATTAAAAATATAATCTTTTTGATGTTGTTTATGAGAAAAAAAATTTGTATTCACATAAATTAATAATTTTAGTTAATTAGAATAGATTTATTAATATAGTAAAAGGTATGTATATTTTCTTAACAAATCTTTAAGAAATACTCATTTTTTGTACTATTAAATATGAGTTTTTTCTTATAATCTAGGCTAAGAAGAATATATGATAAATTGAAGATTTTTTGTTACCATGGTAAGGGAATGCCTTCCTTCTTCTCTTTTGAATCTCAATATGATCTCCAGGTTTTAAATCATTGAGATTGCTATATTCATAATAATCCACAAGAAAAGTTTTAGGTGGTGGCATTCTCAACCTTTCCCATTCAATATCTCGCTCAACCAATCGTTGTCCCGCATTTGTGGACCTATAAATTGATAAAATTTTACATATAATTAAGAAAAACTACATATAGATGATAAGTTTTAGACTTTCTCTCACAATCACACAAATATGCATCGTGGTAATTAACAATGTCAATTTATTTACTTTCTGCTCTAAATTAAACCCCTAAAAAGAATAAAAGGAGTTTGCTAGTTATTTTAAACGAGTAAATGATACCTTGCTCGAAAGGTGTCTGTTCTAGAATCATAACTCGCAAGAGCATCATGACAGTATAATGTTTTCTTTGTAGCCTGCAAGAAAATTTCTATATAATTATAATAATGTTTAAACCAAATGATAAAAGTAAATGAGATTAGACTAAATCCCCTATTTAGTTTCAAATGCATCAATTATGTTCTACATACTTCTTATACTCCTGCCTACAATGACAGTAATATAATGTGTCACATTTATTTCACAAGTATGTTTCATTAATCTCTATGATTACACAATAACGATATATTATGGACCAATATAATGAAGTTAAGAAAACAATGTGGAAATCTTGTAATCGTGAATGATTTGCTTATTATTTTAGTGAACTTTGGATACTATGTAAGAGTGAAATTATACTTAATAATATAGGGTTTTACTAGTAGAAATGAAAAATAATAATAGTTAGACTATTTTAGGTAATAATAAATTACATAATAGTTGTTATGATTTGGTTGGTCTTACCTTGTAAACTTGAACAGGAAACCAAAAGCGACCAGTCTCAAGGCAAATATACAAAGCCATTTGTGGATGATTTTTAATCAAATCATCCAATGCTCTATTACTTTTCAAATAAGAATGAAGGCGTTGGTATGGATAATCACCACTAATATTTCCACATGACTTACTCTGATTCTGGTGTAAAAATGAACTTTCTTCATTTCTAATTTTTTGAGTATGACATTTCCACTCATTGTGAAAGTCTTCTCCTTCCAATTTACTCCATTTCTGTTCGACATGTTGATTCCATAAATAATCACTTCTACTGTTATTCCTCAAGTGAGTACACACATGTGATACCATGAACAAATCTTTTGGTGAAAGTTTCTTAAGAATGAAATCCAATATCTCTTGAGGTAAACTTAAGAAAGAACCCTTGTAATCCTCTTGTTTATCCAATTTTGGTGTTGTTGATTTTTTTGACAACATTGTGATTTCTGGGAAATCCTAATTCAACAACAATTAAAATATTAAAATACAATCATATTTTACATTACACAAGAGCCCATAGCTTATAATACAAAGAGTAAACAATGATAAACTATAAATTTTTAGAAAGAATGATTAAAAATATATGAACACTCATACAAACATTATTTAGTGTTAATAAATAATGATTGAAAATACATATTCCAATAAAAAGTATCTCTTTCTTATCATATGTAGTCAGAAGTTATGTTGTTGTAGATTAACTAAACCTACAAAATTTGTAAGGTGATCTTATGTTAATGTCAGCTCATTATGAAAAAGTTTTGAGTTGTGCAAATATAATTTACTGTGTTGGTGGACCTTAGGTCCACTCCTCTACGACTATGAGATATTGTTCACTTTGGGTGTGAGAATACCAAAGAATTTTTCTTTTAGAAAATATACCTCTTTTGGTTGAGGAGTGCTGGTGTTGCATATAAACTACCCTTAGCGTCGACTCCCAAGTAATGTAAGACTATTTTGTCTAGTTTGGTACAATTGTCCCCCTAACAATGGTAAGAGACATGGTGAAAGCATGTGGCCCTGATCCTACTTCTAGCACCAATGTTTAGGTCGACCTCAAGTATGTGCCAGTGAGTTTTTGTCCGCTTTGGGTGTAGAATCCCTATACTGTATCCTTAAGAAAAGAAACCTTGTTTGGTTGAGGAGTGTGGGTGTTGCATATAAACTATCTTTAGCCTTGATTCGTAAGCAATGTGTGACTAATTTGACCAATCCAAAGCAATTACTAAAATATTTATCCTTGGGAGACCTAAATATAATAGGAGAATATGTCACTATTGTGGTGGAATTGATACGAGATCAAAATGGATGAGTCTCATGTCAGCTAATGTGTTACATCTAATCTCTAATTAACAATAAAAGTTAAGAATGCCTATTTTGAATGCAATTACAAAATCAAAAATATACTTGTCAAATTTGAAAAGTCATGGGCTATTTTGATATATTCTTACAATTTTGATATTTAATTTACTTATTTACACTATTTTCTTATGCACTAAATAAGACTAAATTTATCAACTTTCACAATTTATTTTAACAATAATTTCACAAAATCTAAATATAAACAATTATTTATCCACGAATTCAAATTCTACAAAATCTGAAAAGTATCCTTACCTGTTTTTGTGTGTGGGAAATATCACTTTTGTCTACAATTAGATCAAAGTATGTCTAAAAAACCTACAACAACAATGATATATTACAAAATAGAGAAGATATATTTAGTGTTAATTAATAATAAAATATACAATATATCGCCAGATCTGAGATTTTATATCAAAAATTAAATATCACACTTACCATTACGTTTGCACAATTGAGAAAGTTGAGATACGACTCTAAAAATTACTCTAATTTTTTTATAAAAGAAATAATTTCGGAGGATCTATACTAGAATAAAACTAAAAAAAAATAGATGGATGAGTTAGATGGTTGTATTCTAAAATACTAATAGAAATGAAAATATTTGGTAAAAGGAATAGATCGGAGAAAGACAAGGAAAATATAAAACGAAAAATATGAGGAATAACATGGGAAAAAAGTTGAAATTTATGATATCTTGACAATTTTAAAAAAATTTCGAAGAACTTTGCAAGATGTGCAAGGGTTGAATGGAAGAAGAATTATAAAATTAATTATTTTAGAGATCTAGGGTTTCAAAGGTAAAGTGCCTAAAAATATAAGAGGCAAAAAATGATGGAATAATCGGGAAAATATCGAGATTAATGATATATTGAGATTTAAACCTCTTTGGTGAAATTTGTAAGATATACGAGGGTTGAATTGCAGTATTTTAGAGATCTAGGGTTTCAAAAGGGTGGTTAGAAGTAGAGAGAGGAAAGGGCAGGACAAAGAGAATAGAGGGACGGGGAAAGTATAGAGAGAGGAAGATATGTTAGAAATGATTTTTTCTGAAGGGGAAAACAAATAAATACTCATACAGTCCACCCATTCAGGTTGCGCCAAGTGGCACTCCCTCGTCTAATCGTCAGGAAGCCCCTGTACAGGGAGCCCCGCTGTAATTCCCATGTGCTTGGTAATGGCACACGTACATTTAGCTTACTATGCTAGTAGTTAGATCTAACGCCCTAGGATTCATCATCATCATCATCATCACCTTAGTCAACTTAATTAGGCGGCTCTTATCAAAGTCAAACTCTGAGTCCATATACTCTCCCACACTTGACATGTCTGATTCTCAAGTTTCCTGGGCCTAGCCCCCATTGATTTATACACCTTAATATTTCTTAAACCCATTATTATTACATTGAGTTTGCACCCCCTAGTTTCTATTCTATTTTTTATTTTTATCATTTAATTAATCTAATTGTTTCTTTACTTTTTTTGACTTAATCATTTAGTATTGTTTTTTTTTATTTTTAAATTGGTATTTTAGTTAATTAATTAATTTAAGTTTTTTTTAGTTTAATTAGGGTTAGTTAGCTTTAATTTATATCAAACATACAAAAAATATCCCTTTTATTTTCAGTTAAATCAAAACACAAAAAATTGTCCATTTAATTTTAATAGTTTATTTATTTTTTTAAAATGATGAAAAGATAAAAAAAAAATGTCTCCTTTTATTTAATTAATTCAAAAAAAAATACTATTTCCATTTATTTAATTTGAAAAATACAAAAATGTATCTTATTTCATTAAAATTAAAATGAAACCCCCCAAAAAAACTCACGTCTTGTATATAAACTCTGTGCATAAATCAAACATATTTTCATAAGTAAAAGTAATTCAACATTTTTGAAAAGAAGATGGATAGGTGGATGAACATCCACCATGTCCCAGAGTAATTGATTGGTTGGTGCAGACCACATCGATCAATTATTCAAATTCAAATAATCTAAAATCAACTAAAAACTCATCAAATATCTTTTGCACCCCTGTGCACCTACTTCTAACTTTTTCATAAAAATGATAGGTTAAGTCATTTCGACGCGAAATACAAACGAGCGCTTAAGCCTCCATCTTGCGAGCATACAAGCCAATGTTTAAATGCAAGAATAACTTAAATCTCATCCTATAAAAACAACCAACACACACTTTTTTTACGAACTACAGAACTCTCACATTCTCATTAGACTTTGAGAATTGGTAGGCACAAGGTTTCGGAACCTTGGCAAGCACAATAATTAATTTTTTTTCCTTTTCTTTTGTAAATAATTTCTCTTTTTGTGAATATTTTAATAAATAAATAAAACAATTGCAAATATTCCCTTAAAAAACCATTAACCCTAAAATTATAGGAGGTTCCCGTTGAGTACAACAGATGTGAGGGGTACTAATACCTTCCCCTCGCATAAACGACTCCCAAACCCATATTTGGTTGCAATTTCCATCTTATTCTTTTTTTTCTCTTTAAGGGTTTTATCAGTATTTTCTATTTCCTTACGAATAAATAAAATTCGGCAGCGACTTTGTTAGTCATCTACGAGCGCGTGATGCCCTCGTGAGATTGTATTTTTTTAAGATGCGACAATTGGTGACTCTGCTGAAGACCATCCCCTAAAGAGAGTCTAGCCTATACTTTAGTTCTTGGGTTGTTTGTTTTGTTTGTTTGTTTTATTTTTATTTTTTATGTTATTCATTTTCTTTATTATTTCATATATTTTATCTTAACATTGTGGGTTTTATTTTAGTTTGAGAGTAAGCTCTATACTGGAGCTCAAGAAGAAACGTAAGCTTAAGTAAGAGGTTCGTCCTATTTTGTCCACTGGGATGCATATCTTATGGGGTTTTTAACGACGACTCCAACTAGAGTAGATTACTTCAAATGTTTTTTTGTGAATTAGCTAGCCCAACTTCATGACATAACTTTGAATTTAGTCCATGAATCTAGGGACCCTTTCTAGAACCCGAACGTGAGTCTTCGTTTATACCAAGGCTCCCTAATGGAGATCCTTTAGAAATTTTATCATGGTAGGGCTATGTTGTATCATGATGAAATTTCAGTTGTGGTATATGACCTTGGGTTTGTTCTCAAACAACCAAATAAAACTCTATAACTTACCCTGTGAGGGGTTGGATAGAAAAAACTAGGATCTTTTGTAGGACCCCTCCATTAGATTGTTCCATTAACATCTCGTCCTACATAAAACTTGCATAACATATGCCTATTTTAGCATTATAATCTTTATTTTTTTTGGGAATTTCAATGTCTGTTGTAGACACCTTTTGAGAGATGGATTCAAATAAGAAAAATACCCATCAGTTGGTATCGACATCAATCAAGTAGACAAAGTGAATCCATTTAGGAGAAGTATTATAACAACCCAAATAATATGTGCCCAGAATCATATTATATGGACTGCTAAACTGACACTGAATACAATCAAATGTGTCTAAATAACGTCAAATACATGTAAGAAAACAAGTACAAGGTAATACAATTACATGATAAATACACCTTATACAAGAACATACTATAAATAGATAGTAACACAACGAAAAACATGAATGACTCTTATTTTCTAAGTCTCTGAGACACCAATCTTTCATCTTATTCCTCAACCAAGTTACCTGAAATATTAAAATGGGGTGACAACTTATCTCAATGGAGTTACCTATCCTACAAATCCACTCAGTCCAAAGGTTCTTAACATTCACTATGACTCTAGTATAATATCCACTGGCAGAATTTCAATAATCCCACAACAATCTGGTATTGAGGCCACTTCCAAGCCTAAGGCTCCATACTTGAATTTGTTAGTCATAAATCATAAATATCATTCATTGTATAGATCATCATTCGGTTAGTCATGATATCAAGACTTACTACATAAGATTTTCCTAAACTGGGCATCACGTCCAAGTTTGCCCTATTAGTACTCCGTCTTAATACACACATACCCGATTCTCCAATGATTGGTATAAAGTTACTCATTAGTAGTTAGTCATGAAATTGAGATTTTACACTTAAATAGCTA